ATTCCAGGTTCTATATTCACAACATCTCATATTTTCTCAAACTTTGTTTTTCACTTCGTGCTCTACCAATTGGCAACGATTAGAGGCCAATTTACCAACTTTTGCAAAAACTGAGCACTTAACCTCTTAAGAAGCTGAAGAAAAGAAAGTACTTCTAAGGTCAAGTCATGAATTTCCCTGATTACTGGACAGGGAATTTGATGTCGATCCTCCATGTTTACTGGGCATTGGAATAGACGTTCGAGAGCCACGTTTTGTTGGAATGAGCGCTGGTTCCTGGTCACTCTCTTCGTTTGCAGATTCATTGTCATTGTCATCTGCCTGCTTGAAAACTGGGTGAATATAAGCATTTTGAAGGAATCCTTTCAAGTTCAGGTTGGGTTCCCTTGTACGTTCCAGTGTATCTTTCATCATTGCTTCCTGATAACATAGAAAAAAGAAATAAATTTAATTAAGAAAAAGATATGAAACTAATGAATATATATAAATGAACACAAGCCTTTTATTTGTAAATTATATATATGGCGTTGCTATGACAGAACAAGGGCCAAAATAGTGACAATGTAGCACGCAAGGATGCAGGAAGATATAATACATGGAGGGACCAAAAGTTTTATGTATGCTTTATAAATTATTTCATAGCATTATTCTAAATGAGGTATGCCTTGACATCAAACCAACCTGCAATGGATAGCTGATAAAAGCTGGCTCGTAACGCTCTTTACAGAATCTATGGAACCAGATGGTTAATATGGGAAGCATAATAAGCAATGGAGTTGACTGGGCAGCTTCTTTTGTGCTCAACAATCCCATAAGTAGCAGCTGTGAGATGATTAATGCAGTAACAATACGTGCATGGACATCAGGCCAGAATGCTGCAGCACTCTCATATTCCTGATTGTAGACATTTATGATCTACAAGTTTGTAAAGAAACAATGGGTGTAAGAAGCATAAAAATTGACAAAATAAAGGCACATTGATCAGGTTAAAGTACTACTAAATAGAAAGCTTACATTCACCAAGACACAACTTACTTTCATGAGTTTGCAACTTTGCATTATGCAACTACATTTACTGGTGAATGGAGGTATAAAATGGCTAAGTGAGGTTATACTTCAATGTGTTTTTGTTTCATTATGTCTCATAAACTTTAGGCTATTTGTGAAATAAAACAATAAAGAGGAAGCCAAAGGCATCATAACTCCTCTCATATATAAGTACTCTAAGAACAGTAATTTTTTTTTTTGGCCATCCTAAGAACATTAGTTGTTTCCCATCGTTTTTGTGGCCCCCCACACAAAAAAACCATTCATTTTTACTCCCCTTGCCCAATCCCTTATTCCTAAACAAGATTTTGTTTTCAACCAAAGTTACCCCATGTCATGGTTAATCTGTCATAGTTTCAGATCTTTATTTCTGTCAAGAAAAGAAAAATGCTTGAGATTCCTCTGGTGGTAAAGTCCAAATATCTATTTGTATGCATAGGTCAAGTATTGTGGCCTTTGCTTCCTTGCTCAGTTAATCAAGCTTCTATTTTGTTTTTGCCCATCATCAAACATGTATTTTATTGCCCATAAACCACTAGTGGAAAAGGTCATAACCTGATTATAGGGAAATGTGAAAATTTACCTGGTGACGGTATACAACATATGCCAAGCTGAAGAATATTATTATGAAAGGAAGCAGAATTGGAGTCACCACAGCATAAACCAAGCCAAGTAAGAAGTAAAGTTGGATTTGAGGTTCTCCAGTGTTGAAACCAAGAGTTCCTGGATCCATTGCCTCTTCCCTATCCTTTTCAGTCTTTACCAAGAAGAAATTCTTTAAGTGGTAGATTACTAAGGGCTTCAACCTCAGAATTTCTGCAGCAACTCCAGCCCAACCATCAACCATTATATATGTAATGAAGAATGTAGCCTTCATTGGAATTGACGCCCCAATTGTTTTTGGGATACTGCAAAAATAGCCGTAAGTTATATAAAATAAGAAAACCAGACAATAAGACTCAATATCAGTAATAAATTCACCAAGAAGTATATCAACCATACTAGAAATGTAAGGGATAAAGGGCCATAGGATATAACAACTAGTGAGTAGCAGTGAACAACTGGATGGATTAAGCTGGTGAAAGTATAAGAAGATACAAGATAAGCAATCCTTTATAACTACATGGTACAAGTTATATGAATGAAATTAAATTTGATGCACAAAGAA